AATTTAAGTGATTTGGACATATTTATAGACGACCTACTACGGCACCGGTGAGAAAAAGTTATACACGATAGTTGTTGAATGTAAACCGGGATAGAGGAAGATCAAAATTAATTTTAACTGAAATAGTAAAGAAAAATATGATAATATATGATTTACTTGAAAATATTGTCTTTAATAGAGTTCAATGGCGAAACATGATTCATGTAGTCGATCCTAAGAACGTTGGGACAGAGTTGTGTTGAATTGAGTTAAGTTTTATCATGCAAATTCAACTAATCTTTGGATTCAACTTTAACTTCGTACCTAGTTTGAAATTCAATTACATAAATAGTTGTTTTTGAGTTTTGATCAGACTTACTTAACCTTAATCTTTTACGTTTTGGGGATAGTATATATTAAATTTGAATGATAATTTACAATTTCGATTTTGAAGACCTTATAATCAACACATAATTAAAATTTAAATAGTTTGTCATCCATTTGTGCGTGAAACTTAAGTTTTTAAATTATATTTTTGGTAACTTTTATGTATGTAATACGTATATAATATGATGCTCTCGCTCTAAGATATTTTTAAAAACTTGACACTTTTACGCTCTCTTTCTTATTCCGCTCTATGTTATCTAGATCCTAACCCCAAAAATACTGACCTAAGTAGATGACTGAAGCTGCCCTTCAATGTATGCAACTATATTATCTTTCTGTAAACCTAATTACTACTTGAGTTGTTGGAATTATTTACTCTGCTGACTAGGTTGTTTTTCTTTGAGCAATTTGCCTTTGTGAGCATGCAATGAGTGATCCTTTAGATGTTTTATGATTCATTGTAATATTAGTCTTTTTTTCAGATTACTAAAATTATTTGCCATCTGAAAAAGAAGAGAAGCTGCCCAATAAGTTGTAAACTTCTGATATAATTAAGGGTCAATTTTTAATTTCGTCCTTAATTTTTCAACGCTGCTAATATTTCACTCAATTTTTGCACGTCTGATAGAAAAGAACCACACCAATTTAGCTAGTAGTTCTTATTAGCTAAATTGTTGCCAAAATGTGGCTAAAATATTAACATGTTCCATAAAATCAAAAAAAAAGAAAAAAGAAAAAAGTAATGAAGATTTATGTATGAATTGATAACACCCTTTTAAGTGATTTTTAAGCAAGGANATGTCTGATAGAAAAGAACCACACCAATTTAGCTAGTAGTTCTTATTAGCTAAATTGTTGCCAAAATGTGGCTAAAATAATAACATGTTCCGTAAAATCAAAAAAAGAAAAAAGAAAAAAGAAAAAAGAAATGAAGATTTATGTATGAATTGATAACACCCTTTTAAGTGATTTTTAAGCAAGGAAATAATTCTGTGAAAAAATTATTTTGATTAGCATTCAATGAATATGATATATATATATATATATATATATATATATATATATATATATATATATGGAAAAACGTGTGTGTATATATTCTTTCTGCCACATTTAATCATATATACTAATAACTCCTATGATGAGTATTTGTGTATGCTATACTGTTGAACATATGATTAAGCGTGGCGGAAAGAAACAAACTCGAATATGAAAAAAACTGAATGTAAAAAAAAAATGATACTTAAAAATAAAAGGCAAAATAAAACTGGAAAAATGTTGTACCTTTATTTGATTTGTAAGTAATGTTTGAAGGCCCATGCATGCAAAGGTCAGTCTGACCAGAAGCCATTCATGGAACTAGAGATGAAAAGAAAATTCTTCAAATATAATTAAAAATATAAGTGCTACTTATAAGCAAAAAATTGATTTGTGATATTTCAAAATCATGATCGGCCAAGAGAAACGAACTATTTTTTAATGGAATTATGTCAACAACAAGGGGAGAAATTAAAATTTACATGAGAATTATGCACCCAAATTTTGTACTTGTGTGTGTTCAAGAACTGCTCTTTGCAACATAATTCACATAAAATTCTACAAACTCCCCAACACTTGTTTTGATTTAGATTTTGCCCCTGCTTCTTGTTCCCAAGTATATTAATTTGAGATTCAAGTAAGATAACAAGTTAAGTTGCAAAGAGTGTCTCTTGATCACAGATTGCTTTGACATAATTCCATTAAGAGATAGTTCGTTTCTCTTGACCCAACAGTGTTCTTGGAGTATGAAAATGATGGAGATTACTTACATTGTAATCTCTATAAATTAAGCAAGTTTAATAGCATGGGAGCTTCTTTTATAATTTGTACCCAACAATTGGGAGTTTCTGAACAGTTATGGAGGTGAAAATTCAAGAAAACCCGAAAATGAAAGAAAAATATTTGCAATGCTGAAAAACTGATATCAATTAAGCAATGGTAATTTTGAAGATTTTTGGGTGGCATTGCATAACTTATGATCTGATCAAGTGGTTCAACTTTGATTGCTGAGTGCTTATTTGTTGTGTAAGCAATCAAATTAGTATACTCTTATCATGTTTTGTTATATGCAGGAAGTACAATTTTGGGAAATCTTCTGTATCTATTAAGTCATGATGCTAGCTAGCTAGAAGCACTTTTTGAATTGACTTTAATCTGTGCCATGCTACTTAATAGTTTTGGCAAAGGGAAGCAGCAATCTTAAGGCAACAGTTACAGAACTTGAAAGAGAATCATCGGTAAAATCTTACTCCTTTACCTTCGAAACATTTGGCTATGGGGTTGGTGTGAAGGAAATTCTTGCAGCGGGGGAGAAACTATAATGTTTTTAATGATTAGCACGAAAGATATAAGGGCTACACTTACCAAATTTTTTTATCAAATCTTTTATCACAAATGATGTGGCATAATCTCTATCATTGAATATAGGGGATCCACTTATACAATGGTGAAAAACTGTACCACATTATTTAGGACGAAGATTTGATAAATTTAGGACTACCCAATTCCAAATAGCTGGGGGTAATGGCCCAGTCTCCGGTCATCGAGAAGACTTGTAGACCCTATGGTCTNGCAGCGGGGGAGAAACTATAATGTTTTTAATGATTAGCACGAAAGATATAAGGGTTACACTTACCAAATTTTTTTATAAAATCTTTTATCGTAAATGATGTGGCATAATCTCTATCATTGAATATAGGGGACCCACTTATACAATGGTGAAAAACTGTGCCACATTATTTAGGACGAAGATTTGATAAAAAAATTTAGGACTACCCAATTCCAAATACCTGGGGGTAATGGCCCAGTCTCCGGTCATCGAGAAGACTTGTAGACCCTATGGTCTCCAGCCAGGTGTCTCGTACTTAAACATTAACCATCATTTCCTATAAGAACCTAAATTGTTTAAGAAGGTGTAACATAAATGTTTTTACACTCCAAAAACATTCAATTAGGACAAATTCAGGGTAATTATGAGATTTGTCTTATTTGACCTCAAATTTCCTGCTCCGACATCATGTAAACAACTAACTCATGTAAAAAGTCTAAACTGTTAGAACAACCATAACATATATAATTAGTTCTTCAAGGTATACTAGTGCACAGCGAACAGATGATTGTGAATTTGTGCCTTTGTTATAAGACAGGAAATTGTTGGGGGAACAACTTTACGGTTTGGGTGTCAAAGACCTACAAACTATAGAGGACCAGCTGGAAATGAGTTTGCGTGGTGTGCGCTTGAAGAAGGTGAGAAACCCTTAATCTTCATGCAATACCATTTCTCGATTTATGCTTGTCATCCAAAGCGAGATATGATCTTCATGCAATACATCATATATATTTGATCTCTAAGTGGCCCATATAAGAATGCACATGCTTTTTTAGTTTCTACTACGAAGTCTTTTTCAAAAAATTTATGCAGGAACAGATATTAATCCAGGAGATACAAGAGCTGAATCGAAAGGTCTGATAACTGCTTTTTTTTTTTTTTGTCTCAAACTTTGTTTAGAATAACATCAGCTACAACAACATTATTTTGTTGGATTTCTTTCAGGGAACCTTGATTCAGCAAGAAAACATAGAACTCAACAAGAAGGTAAGCGTTCTTCGTCAAGAAAATATCAAATTGTAAATGGAAGGACTTATAGTTGGATTGCTGACAAAAAACTTCATAACTTCCTATGATCCTTGTCCTGTTTCTCTCAACATAGCTAAACTATCAGTCTAACAGAGTACTGTTAAGTAGTTTGTGTCTCAGGTTTATGCCCAAAGGGATCATGCAAATGTGGCAAACATCATCCCATTTAGCATTAGCATTGGCGAGAGCTCAGACACTTCCTTTCTGCTCCAGCTCAGCCCCCCGAGCAACGAAGTTTTGAGACACCAGCTAGAGCAACAAAGTCAAGGTCTAGTGATCCCAAACTCAAAGAAGTTGAATGAAAGTACTTTGTAGTTTGTTCAGATAGATTTCTTCATTAAACTGCAAGATTTGCTACTACCTTATATAATTTTATTTAGGATGGAGCTATATCTTAATAACCGCAAACAAAAAAAGAACACCTATAGCAGCAACGTATCTGGGAATTTGTTGAAAAAGGTTCTAGGGGGAATCTATGTAGTTTGAGGTATTCAATACTAACATTAGTATTAGAAAGGGGATCTACCCAAAAACATTGGGGTCTAATCAAAATCAGCTACAAGCAAGCCACAATCAATCAGGAATTCTATTGTAAAAGGTCAATGTACCAAAACATCTGATAGTGAAAACCTGATCAAAATCAACAGCTCTTGATTGATATCTCTGTTAATTATATAACTGTTTGTATTAATTTCGTCCACCATAACAGCATAAATTTTTTGATGAGTTGATAGTTTAAAGTCTCATAGTTCGTGGCTAAGCCACTCATGAAGCAGTGCTACAGTTGATAACCTAGACACAGTGTTCAGTTTTCCCCCAGCACCTTTAATTAAACCATAACCATGGAACTGGCAGATTCAAATCCTACATATAATTGTGGAACAATGCATCATGTACTAATCATAATGACAACCTTCCCATAAATTAGCCTATAAGGAGACATGCCAAGATTAGTTTTGAAAGCAGTATGGTAAGCCTACAAAGCATCGGTCAGTCTTAAAAACCAATCTTTGCGATCAGGATACCGCCTTATATCAATAAAAATCGTAGAACATATACATCATGGCTGAGCAGGAAACATAATCCTCAACATCAAATAGATCTAAAAAAACTGTAAATGATCAAGATGCTTAAATTTTTAAGACATTACTGATGGACATGCCATTTAAACTCTTGAAGCACATGAGAACAGGCTGCATATTCATCTTTGTGGTTCCCCTCATCAAAGTTCTGTGAGTAGCTAACAGCATCATATTGATATGTTAAAGGCTTGGTTCCATATATGGCCTTGCTTTCTCTCACCAGCTTCTTCAAGAGGTTTCGCCATTTCCGGCTTCGCTTGTCAGCACCACCTGCATTAATGCGAGAGTATTCTTCATGCACAGGAACACAGGAGGGGGACACGCAGCCGGAAAAGTACGATATTCGCCGGTTGGGAAGATCACCCCCCATCTGAACAAACAATGTGGTTTCTAGGGAGTTTCAAATAATGGGGTTAATCTCAAAGCTTCCCAAGAATTTCCTCAGCAATAATGTGAGTGAGAAGATGTGATGTTGCTGGCTCTCTTTATATTGTGACAGTGGTTTGAGGTTTGTAGGAAATATTTATCCCTTGTGCACCTGTTTTGTGGGCCTAAACTTTTCTGTCTTCTATGTATATTTTTTTTCTTTGTCATATGATTGCTCTTTATATGGTTTACTCAAGTAAGATATGCATATGATTAAACCAAAAACCCACAGATTTCCACTCTGAGTCACAATTTTGTAAAATGATTTGGATTTAGATCTATGTCAATATATTTTATAGTATCTCAATAACAAATTAACATATCATAAATTTGTGTGTGCGCACTATTACACAATAAATGATCTACAAAGAGAGTCTAAATCGGAACAATTGGGGTTTATGGTGCACCCAAGCCCCATTAATCCTCTTTTTATGATTTAGGATCAAGGGAGGAACTACAACAAACTAGCAGGGTTGTATTATGTTGATAATTGGTAACCAACTCATTGCTTATTATGACTTCAACTTTGTCTCCTTCTTGTTTCTTTTTTTTTTTTAAATTGTGTGATTTTTATGGTGGTGAGAATATTAGTTTGGTATAACGCTCAACAATTCTATGGCATGAATCATTACCAATAATGTCAGTTGATTGATGGCTTTGGCTGTTCAAGAACCTTAATGGTAGCAGTTGTATAACTAAGTTTTTTGGCATTTTGGTTACAAATCATTGACAAGATTCTAACAAAATGAAATGAACCGACATGAAAATGCATACAAAATAATCAACTGACACTACTAAGAAACAACACCTTCAATCATAGTTAACAGGGTTTTGATTACAGAATGTCACTGTTCAGTTTAGGGAGCATATTGTAAGCATATACCTACTGGTTTGATAAAGACAAGAGAACTCCGCATTCTGGATTATTGTAGGGATGTGAGTGGAGGGCATTGGAAACCGAACCAGAGACAAAGAAAAGCCACTGTGAACAGATGAGAGAACCAATGTTGGCACAAGAACCATAAACTTGGAATTCATCATGGACATATACATGAAATTATGGGCTCTTTTCAACATTTTTTCCACACAGTGAAAGAGAGAAAGCATTACAAACAAAAACTATCAGGGTGTTTAAATAATTCATCACGTGTAATCACCATTCAATACAAAAATAATCAAATGAATTAAGTGAACCATGACTTCATTCTTTTTTTTTGTTTAACCGTCAAGGGGTGTTTGGGTCAATTTATACTCATATCGACTAATTCTCTCTTTAATCCAATCAAAATAGGCCATCTACACTAGAATTAAGGTATTCATGAGGATAAATCTCTCGTAGCTTAACCCCAAAGAGTTATCAAAATTTAAGCTTAGAACGTCTAAATTTACGAATGATATTACGACTTCTATCCATTTTTCACCTATACTAAACGGACTATTATGATTGCTTTTACATTCACTGTGACAAAACGTCAAACAATGGGCGGATGTTACTGCAAACATCATTCAACTAATAGAAAAACTAGGAAAATTAAATAAACAAGTTAAAAAAAAAAAAAAAAACAATAGCTGTTGATAATCATGTGATTATTTGGTACAACCATACCTTTGCCAGCCTAAGCCAACCAAAACTTGTGGGGACTCTGTTCTTGTCGTCACCTCTTTGTTTCTATTGGGGGCTTCACAAATGCCAAGGACAGCGCACATAAAAACGTTCCACTGTATGATTCGCCGGACCCATTTCTATCTCTCAGTGTTCGTGCTCTGTGCTTCATTGGATTCCTGACAATGTATATCGACTAATTAAACATGCTCCGTATCAAGACAATGTGTTTCAATTGGAAGGTTGAGTTCGTTTTGTAGATGAGTAATGTTATGTGCACCAAATTCTTTATCATACGACAATACTTCATCCATTATATGTGTTATAAGTGTAGTGGAACCCACAAATTCAACATAAGAATTTGGTGTACATACCATTACCGTTTGTCTGATAAATCTCCGGTGGTGGTAGAGCTGACAATGTTCTTGTATAATTTGTATCACATTCATTTATTATTGTAATAACGAACACTCTGTCCGATGCAAAGAATTTATTACATATTTTATTTCGGTATGTTCTTTCTTAGTTTTCTAATCTTCTTCTTTTCTGATTCTTCGATATTAGTATTTCAAGAATTATTAAAGTCTATAGTCGATCGAAATTGAATTTTTTAAAAAAAAATTGAAATGGGCGGGGATTAATTGGTAAGATAATGAAAATGTGGTTGTATTAGTCAAGTGCTGATTATTAATTGGAGAATATTTAACTTTGTAATTAATTAAATAAAAATTTTAAAAAGTGGGATGTAAGGCTTCTTTAACCCTCTCTTCCAAAAAATAAATATTTTATATATATAGATATATACAAGCAAATTCGTATCGTGTCATATTTAATGAATTTTTGCCATGTTTAGCGGGATTCATTTTGATATCCTTGTTTGATGAATTTAATGGGTCAACTCGTTTATTACTCGGTCCCTTTAAAATTAAAATCAATCCTTTAAATTTATTCTTTATTTTGCGTCGAATGGACATATCCTATTTAAATTTGCCCAACTTGGTGGTGGTCTCAAATTGAAGGCTGTAAATTAGATTTGTGACTCACTTCTGCAGCAACTAGGTTTACAAACAGGGATAAGATTATAGTATCATACTAAAAAAATAGATCATAACTGTATATCTTATGTTTATTTATTTATAATTTATAACTATACATAGGGTTTACCAATGAATGGTATGGAAACGAAACCTTATACAAGAGTGTTAGACCTAAGGATCTCTAGTTATTTGGGGGATCTTGAAAATAATAAAATCTATAACACTTTATATATGTCGCATTCTAATAGGTGAAAAATAAAATATATGGTATCAAAAAATAATTTTTAAATATTGTTGTTGGATCCTATAAACAAAGTAAATTCATATCTGTTACCATGAAGTGCATAGCACAAATTTGAAAGCCTTGTTCAAAAGTCCAGAATCGTTGTTATGCAGCCAATTACGAGAAGATACCCAAATGGGGTATTGTTTCTCGTAGCCCATCCAATTATTATCTGGAAACCGAGAAAACTACACTGACTATGGGCTAAGGCTTGATCTTTAAGCCCACTGTCTAAACTTGTCAAACACTCGCACAAATTGGAATCGGCCCACAAGAAATTTAGGTCATTTTTGGTTTGTGATTTGGAAACAGTTTTTTGTTCTCAAAATTTTAAAAATACCTAAAACCTGTTTGTTTAGTATTTTTGTTTTCTAAATTTTGGGAAAAAAATGAGATTTTAGTCAAAGAAACAGAAAATAAGTGTAACTTATTTTCAGAGTTATCTTTAAAAATTTTAGATACAAGGAGAACAATTTTGACTGTTTAGATATAGTATATATATTATGAAATTATCAATATAAAAATAATTTTTTTATATTTTTTATTAATGTTTGAATTACTATTCAAATATATATTTAGGTTGTCCAAACAGATTTTACTATTTTCTGTATTGTAAAATTATTTTTGAAATCATATAACCAAACAAGTTTTTTATCTCAAAAAATATCAAAATCACTTTCTTAAAACTCTTTTCAAAAACTATTTTCGGATACCATTTTTTAAAATGCAAACCAAACAGATCATTGTTTTTTACATAATCTCTAATTTTAGCGTAAACAATCTATCTTTAATCAAATCGAATAAAAAATTAATTAAGATATGCGATCGAAATATCAAACAAAAAAAAAAGGCACACACCAATTGAAAAAAGAATATAACAGGTGGCTCAATATGTCCCACAAACTAGTTCCTTCCTATCAGGTTATATCTCGGAGAGTCAGTTTGTGGCTCAGAAATGTTGAGTTTGGATAGGCCTTTCTTGGTTGGTTTTGGTTTGATTTATCGGTCATGACCCCCAACTAAACTCGAATTAGATATGTCTGGATATATATATATATATGTTATTTGCTCATAATATTATATTGGTGGCCTCAAATTGATGCCATGAATGAGATTTATAGCTTATCGTCTCATTTTTTTTTTCCCTTTTACCCTCCGTCGGAAAAGTCAGAGAATTGTTGAAAATTATGGGATGATAAAAGTTGATTTATTTAATGGAAAATTCTCATTTTGTCTCTTGAATGATTAATTTTTTTTATATTGTCCCGTCAAAAAAATAAAAACGTTGCAATATGATTCAAAAACATTGCAATATGCTTTTAAAAACGTTGAAATAAAAATATTTTTGGACCACATTATAACTTTTTTATTTTTTTTGAGGGAGATAATGTGAAAAAATTAATCACTCGGACGACAAACTAAGAATTTGTATATCTTTTAAGGGGTACAATTGGATTTTCTCTTATTTAAATAAATCTAATATTCTATTTGATACGGTTGATGAAAAAATGAAAGGATGAAAAGTTGGAGTGATACAATTTTCATTTTTCAAGGGAAGAATCTTTCATCCCCTCTTTTGTGTTTAGTAAGAGAGATGAAAAGTAGAAAATATTAAATTATTAAAAAAATATAAATACATATTTTATCATTATATATATGTATGAAATTAATATATACATAATATGTAATTGATAAATATAATATATATATATATATATAATAAAACAGGAGTGTATTTGAATTTTATCACAACCATATTTTTTCCCTCAAAATTATCACCAATCACTTACCTTACTCATCATCCTTTTATCAGACTCAAACGTCAAATCATATCACTCATTTCTATCTCATATTTAATTATTTATATATTTTCTCTCTAAAAATATCACATCACTCATTTCTATCATATATTTAATTATTTAATATTTAATTAATTTGTAGTTAATATATTTTGAAAAAATTTAATAAAGTAAAATTAATTTTTTGGACGCTCGAATTTTATATTTTATCGTACCTTCAGGCACGGGTTATGACTATTATATCTATATATCAAATAATATATAGACAAACTAGTTATTGCCTTTGTCTAAAGACATAGAGTAATAAAAAATAGTAAACAATAAACATCTTTATATTCATATCCAAAATCAAATCACAAACATAGAGAAGAGATAAAAAAATTTAAACATCGGTTTAGTGTGAGGGTGAAAGGCGGTGAGCGACAGTTGTGATGGTGTGTGGTGGGTGACAATGATTGGGGTGACAATGGTGGGGGGTGGTGAGGCAACGGTGATGGTGGCAGCAGTGGTGATAGTGGTGGCAATGATGGTGGCGGAGGCGGGCGGTGATGGTGATAGAAGTAATGGTGGACGTGATTTCAAACATTATTTTTTTTAAAGTATTTATAAAAAATAATTTTTAGAAAGTATTTTTAAAAAATAACTCCAAACACACCACTTTGACCTATTTTTTCTATTAAATTTAAGGTGTTAATATTAGTCATTAGATTAACTTTAGAGTAAAATTTAAAGTGATTTGAATCGCGAACAACAAAAGTCATTTTGTTTATCTTTTGAAATTTGAATTATAAACTACTTTATTATACAGATAACATATATTTTAACACATATAATTAATTTTCTATCTATCTTCCTCCTAATTTTGATAAGTTATAAAGAAAATTAATCCATTCATTTTTTCATCTTTTTTATTTTTTTCCTTACAAAACATAATATTTTATCTATTGCTCTAACTTTTTATTTTTTCATCGTACAAAAGAAAACATAAATAAAATAGAACTTAGATATTTTGTTGTAAAACACATGTTATAGAATATGATTGGATATTAATTGTAATATATTAATTTAGAATTCTAAGAAATCAAAAAATAAGAAAGGAAGATTTTTGATGCACCCTTTCCAAGAAAATAATTGTTTTGCATATATAAATAGAATAAGGATAATTTGAGTTGGAGAAAATAAAGGAAAAGAAAAAAAAAATTAGTTCCATTTGGGCCCAAGTTATATTGATCATAATCGAGGGGGTCCAAAGTGCATATATAGTAGTTTTTTTTTTTTTTTGTTCAAAACATATCTAGTAGTTTAATTGCCTTTAAAATCAGTTGATTCTGTTGAATTTCCTTCTATTTGGGTTGGTGGGTGGGAGGGAGCAAGCACATCGATGGTAGTCAGTCGCTGGCGAGTCTGGTGAAGTTCTGAGAAATATTAAACAATTTTCTTCAACCACCAAAATCTCAGCCAAACCCAAGAGGGGGAAGGAGGAGAGAGAGAGAGAGATGGCAATGGCAACGGCGCTTCGCAGGCTTTCATCTACCGTGGACAAACCCATCAGACGTCTTTACAATGGCGGCTCTCTCTATTACATGGTTGTTCTTAAATTTTCAGAAAAAAACAAAAACAGAATCATTTTAATTCATTCTTTTGTTGTTTGAATCTTGATGTTTATGTTTTTTAATGGTTGTATATTCATTCGATTTTGTGTTGTAGTCGTCTTTGCCCAACGAGGCTGTGTACGAGAAAGAAAAGTCTGGTGTCACGGTAAGCCTACAAACTGTTTGATATAGTTTTTCAATTCCTTGACATAACTTGTTCGTTTAATTATTATTCTGTGTTCAATTAACGTCAAATTTTCTAATAATTGCAGTGGCCAAAGCAGTTGAATGCTCCGCTTGAGGTTGTCGATTCGGAGATTGCTAATATTATCGAGCTCGAGAAAGCGAGACAATGGAAGGTACTCGTACTCTGTGTATACACGTATGAGTGTGTGTGTGTGCGCGTCTGCGCACCAACTGGATGTATAAAGAGAGAATTAAATGTTCCTTTTCCGTTCCTACAATTTCTAAGCAACCAAAGAATATTTCTATTTAGAATTCCTATTCAGCATGATTGTGAAATTGCATTTGAACCTGGAACTTATCATGTTTTCTGGAATTTTTATGCCGTGTTTGTATAGGGACTTGAGCTCATTCCATCGGAGAATTTTACATCTGTTTCTGTGATGCAAGCAGTTGGGTCTGTAATGACTAACAAATACAGTGAAGGATATCCCGGTGCAAGATACTATGGTGGAAACGAGTATACACACTAATTGCAATCTTGTTTCTCTTTTCTCTGCTTTTTTTTTTCTTTCCTGTTTTTCTTAATAATTATACCCGCTAATATCAGTTAGCATTAGCATGTACACACAGCTTCTTCTTTTTTTGGTTGATTTCCTTTTCATTAGAGCTATTACGCATTGTTCATCCCATTTGCACCTTGTACTCTTTATTGACTTTCTGCTATCAGGTACATTGACATGGCAGAATCCTTGTGCCAGAAACGTGCTTTGGAAGCATTTCGGTTGGATCCTGCAAAGTGGGGAGGTAATTGCATTTTATCTATCTATCTATCTATCTATCTATCTATCTACCTATGGCAAGGTTTTATCAGTAATCTTGTGATGTGAGTTGTAACTTGTAACATTTGCTCAAAAATTTTGTTTCTCTTTTGGATTCATTGCTGTTTTTTTATATTTCAAAATGCATCTGTATATGAAAAAATTTAAAAACTACAAAATAATAACTTCAATAACTAAGAGGCAGGCAATTACTGATGCTTTAAGAAGTCAAAGTAAATATGTGAACTGTGGAGTCACATTGCTTCTTGAGGAAAGTTGCAAAACTAAAAATCATACCACCACTTCCTCCAAATAATAGAACTTAAAAAAGACAGAGAAGTTGAAAGGTCGTTTCTCTTCCATCGTAGACTAGTTTGACATCCTACTTGGGTTTGTGAATCTAATCACCTTTTATGTTGCAGTGAATGTGCAGCCTCTGTCAGGATCGCCATCTAATTTTCAAGTTTACACTGCGCTATTAAAACCTCATGACAGGATCATGGCACTTGATCTTCCTCATGGTGGGCATCTTTCACATGGCTATCAGGTGCTTGCAATTTCTTTTGTGTTTTCCTGCTAAATAATTCATGTTGTCCTGCTTTTGGGTCACATGCAGCCTGCTCTGATGTAATGCACAAGTTTGTACAAGACATTTAAACCATCATATGTTGAAATGGGATTTGGGTGTTAGTTCCAGTGGGTTTTCTGAATATCAGTGTACCTAAGTTTATGTGGGTATTTTTGCATTTTGAATTACATGGATATCAATTCACCTTGTCTGTGTATTTGCATAAGGTGCTTGTTTGTGTAACTCTCCAGTTATCTAATTTTCTACATTAAGCATCCTTACCGACATAAAAATTGTACCGAGGTTCAGCTGGATCACATCATGACAGGGTGCTATGCATCCCAAAAAGAAAAGAAAAATATAATTTTCTCGTGATATTCATCAACTAAGACTATGAGTACACTCTTCTGGGCAGTCTGAGAAAGAAACTTTCTTTGTAACAAACCCGAAAAAACTTCAGAGTCAAACCATAGGTACAAAACTCATGATAACAGCTTTCCTTGCCATCCATTAAATCAAAATAACTTTGCGAATCAGTTGTGATTTTCAGGACCACCTATTTCAGAATTGAAGGCCCCACTTCTTACCTATTCAGGCTATAGGAAGATATGTTCATCAATCATGAATGTAAAATGTGTCTCCACTGGCTTCTGTTAACAATCTTCCATTTCCTCCTCAGAAGAACCCCTATACCTCCTCTTCAATCTTTCAAGTTACCTTTTCTTTGGATTTGGGTGTCTTTCATTTGATGTAAATGGCAAAAAAAGTGAGACGACATCTGTGTTGTCCTGGAGAGTCAATTAACCACCTATTGATTAAGCCCCCAAAGTTTTTTAAAAATTTCTTGTCTTTGGACTGTTAACAAAAACTGAATAGTGTATTCTGAGACTTGCATCTTAAATCTTTCAGATTTATTGCATCAGATCACCGGCCATTCTGTGAAAAATTTCTCAAAGGGGGGAAATTGAGGTTGGTCCTTGGTCTGTATAGTATGTGCTAAGCAGATTTCCAAAACCGGAAGGCTGTGGCCCCTTGGCCCGAATGTGGTTATGCCATTGCATAGCCAACTGTGCCCAAATTACAAATTTTGCTACTTCTTCTCTCTGCTTGTAACATGCTATGTTGTCAATAAAAACACAAGTTTTGGAAGGTGCCAACTTCGTGGGTGAAGCGCTATCAACAGTAACCTTAGCATTGGAATTTTAGACATGTTACCAGACAATCTATAAAATCTTGAGTAGATCGTTGAGGTCTTCCATTATCATGATTCATAATGCAATAACAAACTCTGGGTTACTACTGTCTGTGTGTATTTTTAATATCCAGAAGTTAGTTTTCTTGACCGACCTGTAGTAGATGCAGGAAGAGTATAGATAAATATAAATTTATTCGATTCCCATGGGGGTTTGTGAGTTTAGTTAACCATTAATATTGAGAGGTCTATTTGACTTTCACATCATTCTCTTTGGATTTTGGCATACTAAATGTAGTCTCATATTTCCTTTATTTGGATTGGACAGACTGACACAAAGAAGATATCAGCGGTCTCTATATTTTTTGAGACCATGCCATATAGATTGAATGAGAGCACTGGCTATATTGATTATGACCAGGTAGCTTTCTGCTTTTTTATCATGCTTCTTTCTGTTTCATTGCTGTGCTATTTTCTGGGTCACGTTATAAAGATATTGTCATGGAAAGTTGCTTTCGTTGTCTAGTTTTTTTTTGCTTTCCCTAGCTTATTGAATTTGAGAAACAAGGCTACATTCTGGGAAGTAAGTGATTCAAACTGTGTTATTAGTAAAATTTAAAAATTAAAGGTTAATGGATGGCAATAGATTTAGTGACAGTAATCACAGGGCAGTGTAATCATTCAATTCGATAACATGTTAGAGAGTGAATGTAAAAACTGATGCATGCCATCTACTGCTACGTATATTGATAAGTGGTTCAACGACTTTAACAATTGCATTCCTGAATTTGCTTCATAACCAGTGGCTGAACTATATTATGGACTGGGCCCCCAAGAATCAAATTTATTTTGCACCGTTGAGTTTTATGTAAGTATTTATTTCGCCCCCAAAGTACAAAAGTATTCTATTTGTCCCCCCCCCCCCCCCCCCCC